ATTTGTTTATGAATTTGTTGAAAATCTGATTTAGATTTATATTCTGCGTTGTTGGAAATATTGAGTTCGATGGTAAATAGAATAGCTAGCACGTTAGATTCTTTTCTTCGCAACAATCAACCAGGAAGTTTCCGGTCCAATGCGAGCGTCGCGTTTCAAGCTTGTCGCTCGACCTTTTCACTTCGGATTTGTGTTAAGGTCGTGTACAATCTTTTTATTAGTTGTTTTTTTCATTTCAGCGAACGACGATGTAGCTTCGAAAACGATTCTAATCGCTGAATATTTATTTCTCCTTAATACCAGGCTTTATTTGTACCAGGCTTTATTTTACATTTTTTAATAAAAATTCGACAAGAGCCGTTTTGTTCTATATACACGGTGACGCCTCCCATACGCCGCGGAGACTCCAAGGAGAATGAGAGTTTGTATTGAAATGAGATTTTGTGAGCATATATAGGTTAATTCAGAGCACTTTTTAAAAATATAGAGAGTTCTACAGGGTGTCTCCAAAAAAAGTTACATATCAAAGTTGTTTTTTTTGTAATGGAACACTCTGTATATTAATTGATTTTCGGATCCTCGGAGAAAAATAAAGGTGAGTTTTATCAGAGAAGTATATGATTAAAATGTAAGGTTTTTGACATATTTAACATTTTCTAGAAATAAAGAACAATTTTTTAAATTACAATAAAAGCTACCTAAATTGGAATTTACCCGGTATAGCCTAATATGTAGTTAAATTAACTATTGCACTTTAAATCAAATTAAAACTTGATCCAAAAAGTTATACAGGTGAGACAAAATTAATATTGAACATTGGTCACCATTAAAAGCATGTTACTCTCTTAATTTTAAATAGAACACCCAGTATATTATTCCGATATTCAATGGAGAATTCATGTCTCTTCAAAATACTATTAAGGTTTCTATATATTTTCATTTACATGATTTGATCTGAGTAGATCTTTATTATTTGATAAAATCTAGTGTGTCTGGCGTTACTTCAACATAGCTGTCTAATTGGTCCAACTTTAACAACTAGTTATCATTTTGTGTCAGTTAAAACAAAAAAAATTCTCAGAAATTTGCAAAAAATGCGAACTTATCCTACATCTACATAAGATAGAATAATAAATGCTCCTGATTTTATCTAGTCTGTTTTTTTTACGGGGATATGTTAAAGACAGTATTTACTAAACTCGACCAAGTAGTGTCGACAACATGAAACAAATTATTGTAGCTGCTTTTCGAGGTAAAACTACACATATGCCTTTTAAAATGAAAAGATCCTTTTGAAAAGACAATCATTTTATGCAGTTAATAGGAAAAGAAGCATTTTGAGCATTTGATTTCATCTAGCTAATTTTTCTCGCATAATTATAGGTTTATATCCAGTTTTAATTCTGTAATAATTAAAATATGTTTTAGACGTGTATCTTTTTATTACCCCTAAGTATTTTACTCTACAATCTTTAATTTTTGTTAAATTAACAAAAGGTATATCACACAGCCACCTAGTTTTTTTCAAATAATAAAGATTTACTAAGGCAAAATCGTAAAAATTAAAATATCTGGGAAAATCTTTGTCTGAGGGGTAGGCAACCTTAATAATATTTTGAAGATATATAAATTCCCCATTGAACACCGGAAAAATATACTGGGTATTCCATTTGAAATAAAGGAGTAACTTGCTTTTGAAACTGACTAATGTTCAATATTAATTTTGTCTCACCCTGTATGGCCCCGGGTCAAATTTCAATTTGGTTTAACATACAATGGTTACTCTAATTAAATATTAGGCTATACAAGGTCAACTAAAATTTAGGTAGCTGTTTCGAAATCGAAATTTAAAATTTACTCTTTATTTTCACAAAATGTGAAATATGTCAAAATCCTTAGATTTTAGGTATATGCTTCTTTAATAAAACTCACCTTTATTTTTTTCCTAGAATCCGAAAATCAATTAGGGTGTTTTCCATTAGAAAAAACACAACGGATGTGTAATTTTTTTGGGGGACACCCTGTATAATTCTATATATTTTATATTTTTATAAAATGCCTTCAGTTAACCTACATTTAATTTGATATTGTTGTTGCATTTAATTAAATTCTTTTTTTAAATATCTACTGTATTTACTAAATCGTAAATACAACAAAAGTAAACAGATTAATTACCAAAATTTTAATATATCTTGAATATCATAATATTCTTAAAACGGATCGGTAAAGCAAAAGCAATTCTATTCATTGCCTACGAAACTTTTTCAGCCTCGCAAGAAACAGTATAGAATGCCGGGTGACAACGATATCATTTACAGTGTTAGCATTTTGTTTTGTCCCACTTTTAACAGTATTTTTTAGAGATGAGCAAAACTGCGATTCTCCAATCGCAATTGAAACTGCGATTACGATTTTTAAATCACTGCTACTGTAACCTGCCATTGCGATTTTAATATTTAAATATTGTACTAGGTATACACGGTGTCCCAGAAATAAGTTCAAGTATTTTAACTCGTAGTTAATAGTTCAACCCCAGAAAAACGCCTATGAGGTTTTTTCGCGAAGAAAATTATTTGAAGATCTGTTGTATCAACTGTATTATCCAAGTCGAGTTGGAAGGCTTCATAACATCCAAGTGGGCAGCTTCCAATTTGACTTGGTTAAAACAGTTAATACAATACAAGCAGCGTACAAGTGAGACGCTCGCAGCATTATTATTATAAGTACAGTTACATGGCAGCATCCAAGTGTACTTCGTCCAAGTACACCTATGTCGACCCGCCTTAAACCGCAAGTTTTATTGGATTATTTGCTTTAATATAAAGTGAGTTTTATATGAACTGATGAATTATATACAGGGTGTCCCAATATTCCGTGGACATAAAACTACTAAATAATTTGGAATCAAAATAAGTTTATTGGACATAATTTACTTCTATACAAAAGTACATCGTTTATTCGCTAGAGGGCAACTTCAAAAAAATAACACATTTTTTCAGATATTTTAAGAACCGTTGTTCCGATTTTTGTATTGCTAAGTGCTTTAACATTTGACTTTCAGAAAAATTACGGGAAGGGTGAAAACGACCCCCATCTTTACATATATTTTAGTATAAATATTTTCCAACTTTACCGACGACAGATTTTCTTTTAGTAAAATGGTCCCCCCTAGTATTTACTACATTTTTTGTCTCTTGTAAAGAAAACGCCACATCGCATACTTTTTGACAAAAAAAAATTGGAGAATTTATTTTTCCAAAGCAGACCTGCAAAATATACAGGGAGTTCGAATATTTCATGGACATAGAACAACTACGTATTTTTTTAATCAAAAATGAGTCAATTGAAAATAATTTTCCTTTATAGAAAAATGCCTCATTTGTCTCTTAGAGGGTATCAATCAAAAACAAACACGAACGTTAATTAATTTAAAATTTATTATTTTTTTAAGCTTTCTAATGAAGCTTATTGTCAGATATAATTTAAGATACTAACATAAAATTCCATATTTTCACCAACTAGATTATTAGAACATAAGAGATTTTATGCGCCTCCATAACTTGATGTGGCAAAAATAATTTTTTTGGAATTCAGCTTCATAAGTTTTTTTTTCTCAAAAAGGAGGCGCGGCAGCGTTTTTTTAAGAACCAAAAAATGTAGTAAATACTAAAAGAATTGTTTTACAAAAAAATCAGTTGTCGGTCGAGTTGGAAAATGTTTATACTAAAATTTATTTAGGAGTGGGGGTAGTTTCGTAACCACCGTAATAACAAGGCTGGACAGCTGTGACGTAAAAATCTCGTGACGTCACCAACTGGAGGCGTAACTCTATTTAGCAGCGTTGATAATCACCCGATAAAAGTTCAAATTGTGGATTTTTTTTCACTCAGTAGATATATTTCGAAGTTTTAAAATGCGATGAAAATAATAAATTTATAACTTTTATCTGTGTTCAATATTAAAGTTATTAACTTAGCTGGGAGTACAATATTTGTGTTCGACATTTATATGCAGGCGAAAAGAAACTTAGGATTCAGTCATTAATGTCCTTAAAATCTAGTTGTTTTAGTTCTATAAAAATCGATACTTTTTATGATTTTATGATGACAATACCTTGTCTAAAGAAATACCAAAATACCACGCGATACAAGTACCATCGAATCAGATTGGTTTAACATCTACATGACTATTTCTGAACAAGATATCGAAAGTGTGAAAGAAGAAAGGTCTGTTATTGTTTATTTAGGAGGATATTGCTGTTATATTATCTTAAAGGAAATTAAATGCGATACATGCAAGAATAATTTAACATTTTCAGACAACACTGATATTGAACAAAATACACTTATAAAAAACCTTACTAAAGGCAGTCTTGGGTTTCCAAAAGGTGAAATAACTAATATAGTTTGATTTGAATATATACTTTTTAACAAAGTTTTGGAAAGCCATGAGGAGTTTCTCAAAATTCACAATAAAAAAATATTTTTATCAAAAATATCTTTGCATTACATTAAAAATAATAACACCATTATTAAAGTTTCCGCAATGTACTATTTATAATGCTAAGTTATTGTAAAAATTGTCATAAATTCTATTAGAAATACACGTCTGAAAAACTACTGTTGTAAAAAAAATGATAGACTTTTGTCAAAGTCAAATTTCATTCTCAAAAATGATTCTCATTCAAAAAAAAATCTCATATAAATTGGAATTACGGTTCTTAAAATATCTGAAAAAATATGTTTATTTTTTTTAAGTTTTATGTCTGCTAATGGATAGAGGTAAATTGTGTCCAATGAACATATTTTTATTTCAAAAATACGTAGTAGTTCTGTCTACGGAATATTGGAACATCCTGTATATGGTTTTCATGACCTAACACAACAAATATTTTTTTTTATACACTAATGCAGTTACATTCGTTACATCATTACTAGAGACTAAACATTGATTGTTCTCTCATTTAAAATTGTTATTAATATGTTTATTATTTGTTGTAGAATGCTGTCGCCCATTCACCAAACGCCAGCACCGCACCAGTCTCGGCATTCCGAGCGGGTGCCCTCGTTCTCCAGCGGCGACCAGCAAGTTCCGCCACAGCCGCGAACGCCGCCCTCCAGCAGCAGCGACTCGGGCTCAGACTCGGCCGAGTCGGACAGCGAATCGAGCAGCGAGGACTCGGCAGAGGAGCGAGTGACGTCGCAGGTACACCATTATGTTTATTCCTTGTATACAGCCTATTGCGTACCAACATGCCAATTGGTGGTGTTGATGCACTAGCGAACTATTATCTCGAAAATGTTAATACTAATAATACTTCTCCAGGGTGGTCCGAAGTGTATTCCGGAAACTTCGGTAGTATATTCTGCAGATAAAAATAAGTAAAAAACCTGGTATAAATGTATGTGCTAAAATGCCTAGTTTCGGAGATACATTTTTTTCAAATAATTTCTGAATTAACGTAAATATTTGGATGAAAATTGACGTCTGGGAGTTTTTTGGCATGACAAATTTAATTTTGATGTCAATATGACTCCTATTCGTAGAGGGCGCCCTCTAATATCTGTTTTAACTATTTTGAAGAGTAATAACTTTTTGTCTGTACCTATATAAAACTACTGAGTGAAAAAATATACATTTCCGTAATTTCTTACGTAAAAAATGTCTCTTGGTAAAAATCTCTACGAGCAACTGTTCTCAAAATATTTAGAGTGGAAACACATGACATGTGTGGTCACTACATGTCATTATTGACAAAAAATGAACAAATTGAGTAGATAGTTATTTGACTGAAACGATTAATTTGGGAACTTTTTATTTTTTTTTTAATTAATCATAAATTTTTCTTTGAAAAAATAATGAGAAAATAGTTGTTGAACTTTTGGCACAAAAACATTTGAAATTTATGATTTCAGTCTAATAACTATTTAGTCAACGTGTTTAGTGTTTAATACATGTCAACGATGAGAGGTATTGATAATTTCGATTCCAAATATCTCGAGAACCATTACTCCTAGCGATTTTTACCGAGACCTTTTTTACGTAAAAAATGCCGTAAATGTATATTTTTTTACTCAGTAGTTTTATAAAGGTACGGACAAAATGTTATTACAGTAAACGCCACGAATGTTTGGGAGTGATTCATCGCTTGATGAAGTTAGAATCGACACGCGCGCTATCATTTTTACATTAAAAACGTAAATTTTTACCGCAGACGTAGGTTTTTAAAGGCCCGCTCTAATCATCTGCCTGCGCTCCTCCTATTTATTCTAAAATGTTAGCGTGATTGACAAAGACGATACTATATCGCGTTTCTTTAATGGATTCGTTTTTGGGCGTCAGTCCATTGGTGTGCTTGCAGTGCGACCAATGGGGCATTCCAGTTTATATTTATAACCAAATATATGTTTTAACAAGACATTGACAGTTTGCTGGAATCCTTTTTTAAGTAATTTGTTACTAATAAATATTTTTGTAATATTCATCAATAATAATAAATTTAAAATTTCATGCTCAAAAACATAAACAACAGATTATATATTGATTATTATATAACCTGAAACACCACGGCACTGGAATTAAATTTTATGTGACCTTGAACAGATTAGTTCACATGGTAGCGACCGATGAATCAATCCCAAACATTCGTGGCGTTTACTATACCTACTCTTCAAACCATTTAAAAAATATGTAGGTGGCGCCCTCTACAAGTAAGAATCATATTGACGTCAAAATCAAATTTCTACGAACTTTTTTACTTATTTTTGTGTTAATATGCTGCTGAAGTTTCCGGAATACACTTGGGACCACCCTGTATATTATATTTTATTTATTCATTATTTTTGCAGTCGCAGGCAGGTCCAGCCTCTTCGACAGTCCAACCACCTCCGCCGCCGCGTCCTGAGCCGCCCGGCCCCGCCCCTCAGTCGCCCCATGGCAACGACGAGCAGGAGAACCGCACCACGCGCTGGAACCTGGCCAGTTTCGTCAATAGCCAGAACGAGACCGCCTCGCCCACCAAAACCGGTGCGGTCCAGAGGGTCAGCCCGGACTCGCGAAAGCGGCCCGCGGATTGCGGTAGCGATTCGGATGAACGCAGCAGCGACTCTGCGCAACTGGACAGGACAGTGGCGGAGGCGCAGCAGCTGGTCGCGCTTGTCAAGGGACCCATTACCAGTCTGTCAGACAGCGACGATCAACGCACCGAGCAAATTAGGTGAGCTGAAGCTTGAAGTTTATCTAGAATTTTCGAATCTTTTAAGCCCCGTCTAGACTTGTAGATTGTATGGGACCCTTTCCCCCTGGAAGTTAATCAACGCCACCTTATTAAAAATTTCGAAAATTTAGACTAGAGAAATAAAAAAAATATTCCTTGTAAAACATCTTTTAGGACAGAAGTTTGAATTTCTAGTTTTATACTGATTCTTGTCAGACGATAAAAAGGTACGCTATTAATAGTTTATAAGCCATAAGATGTTAAAAGTTAGTAGTAACTCTAAACTTTCTTAAGTGTCTTATAGGATATGACGTGGACGTTGCCGACTAGATGTTTTACTGGCATGGTAAAGTTTTAAAATTAAATCCAGACATTTTAATGTACTGCTTTCTGTAAACGACATTTTAATCTAATAACGAAGATAAGTTTCAATATTTAAAACAAATAGGTTGACTAGGTTTGTTACTTTTATCATATAAAATGATTTTGTATTAATATTACCATTAATATAACCACGATGATACTAATTTATGTAGTACTATTTTTTCCCGCGACTATCGTTCTGTTTTGGACAATTCACACAATATCTTTATAAATTATAGCCTATGTGTTATTAAAATATATTATTGTAAAGTTTCATTAAAATTCATTCAGTAGTTTTTACGTGAAAGAGTAAGAAACATCCATACATACAAACTTTCGCGTTTATAATATTAGTAAGGGTTATTACAAGTAATTACAATTACCTATTTGGATCAAAATAAGTCAAACATATTAACTAAGATATTTCTAAGTCAGTTTTTCGAAAAATAGGAGATACAGGCTGGAATTCAATTTCAATTAGAAAATAATCATACCTTTAATGATTGAATATTTAATGATAGAACTCCTCATCGTTGATTGTAATCAGAAAAGATATATTAGAAATATGGAATAATAAGATTATAGAGTTGTGGAGTCATTTATATACAGTGTGGTCCGAACTGTATTCCGGAAACTTCGGCAGCATTTTCTACATATCAAAATAAGTAAAAAAGTTCGTATAAATGTATGTCCTAAAATGCTTAGTTTCGGAGCATGGTACAAAGAATACAAGGTATGATCGATAGCGGCTCCAATTTCGTTCAGTTCTCGCATACCACCTGTGACGTCACTAGGAAAATAATGAATAAATAAAAAATAAAGAAAGTTGACAAGAGATCTGCATTTTTGAGGTTATGCTTAAGAATTGTTTATTTTTAAGACTTTTTAGTTCGTTTAATTTAATAATTACTAAAACCAGCAGTTCCAAAAATACATTTAAAAATAATAATTATCTATTAACATGGATTTGGACGATAATAGGTAAAAATACTAAATTTATTTCTATATTCGGTATAAAATTGTTTATTAGGTTTTTAGTTTGCGATGTTTATGGTAAATAATTTTCATTTTTATTGCCTCTGAATTGACATGAGGACAGAGATGAGGATATCTATGGAAAAGTAACCACAAGAGGAATTGTTACATCATTTAAAAAATGTTCGGAAGTTTATTGTTTCCCATCGAAAAGTAGAAAATGCCAATGCAGATGAACGTATTGTAATTGTGATAGAAGTAATTCCAAGGGTGAAGTTTATTATAATTAGTGGAAGTAATACCAAGGGTGAAGTTTATTATAATTAGTGACCTGTGCTTCTTTTTATATGTAGATGTTTCTGGTTTTGAGAATAAATCGGTTGAACGACACCCAAAATTTAAAGGAAGTATTTGCATACCCAGAATATGCCCATCAAAGGGTTATATAGCTCAAATTTCCTTTAATGGTAGGCAATTATTCAATGCAAATTAACTTTTAAGTGACTGAAATATTAAATAGTTTACAATATGGTATATCACTAAAAATATATTACTTTTTAGGTACAATTAGGGCCCGATACATTTCAAAAGTAGAATATTATTTTATATTAAATGAGGTATTGTACTAACAATCAATTTATATTAATAACGGAGATTAAAAAATAACAGAATAAATAGTTCTTTTTTTTATACTACAAAAATAAACTATAGAATACAACAGTATTTAAAAAAATAAATAAAAAGTGATGTTCCGGCCGAGATTCGAACTCCGGTCTCTCGCTTCCTAGCCCGACTCCTTATGCACTGCTCCACAGTAACTTGCTTAGCGATAATTCAATGACGGTATATAAACAAAAAAACAGGTTTATAACAATATCTTGACGATTTGAACTGGCGCGCGGAGCGTGCTGACCAATAACGCCTGTTATCACCTGTGACGTAGCGACCAACCTGCGCAATATCATACCTTGTATTCTTTGTACCATGGTTTCGGAGACCCAGGATGTAGAAGTTTCATTTTTATTTCGATTTTTTCCAAATAATTTCTGAAGAAACGTCAATATTTGGATGAAAATTGGTATCTGGGAGCTTTGTGACACGAGAAATTTGATTTTGATGTCAAAATTACTCCTATTTGTAGGGGGCGCCACCTACATGTGTTTTAACTGTTTTGAAGAGTAATAACTTTTCGACCGTACCTGTATAAAACCACTGACTAAAAAAATATACATTTCCATGACTTTTTCCATAAAAAATATTTCTTGATAAAAATCGCTACGAGCAACCGTTCTCAAGATATTTAGAATGGAAATAGTCAATACATGTCATTATTGATAAATAATAAGCACACTTTGAATATAGTTATTTGACTGAAATAATAAATTTTTATTTTTTTAAATTAATCATAAGTTTTTCTGCCAAAAAATGATGATTAAACAGTTTCTTTTGAACTTTTGACACAAAAAGATTTCAAATTTATGATTTCAGTCTAATAATTATTTGGTCAACATGTTTAATTTATGTCAATGATGACAGGCATTGATAATTTCGATTCCAAATATCTCGAGAACCATTACTCGTAGCGATTTTTACCAAGAGACCTTTTTTATGTAAAAAAAGTCGTAAATGTACATTTTTTTACTCAGTAGTTTTATACAGGTACCGACGAAAAGTTATTACTCTTCAAAACAGTTAAAACACATGTAGGCGGAGCCACCTAAAAATGGGAATCATATTGACATCAAAATCAAATTTCTCATGTCAAAAAACACCCATCCACCAATTTTCATCCAAATATTGACGTTACTTTAGAAATTATTTGGAAAAAATCGCAATAAAAATTAAACTTCTACATTCTACACCCTGTATCTCCAAAACTAAGTATTTTAGGACATACATTTATACGAACTTTTTTACTTATTTTATCTGCAGAATATGCTGCCGACGTTTCCGGAATACAGTTCGGACCACCCTGTATATGTTTACGTACCAAAACACATACATGTTCTTGTTTATCCAATAAAAGTGACCACAAGAAAAATATATTTTGAACCACGTGTTTGAATATGTAGGTCATACACGTGTCATCTATTTACTAATTTATTTGGAAGTCTAGAGTATAGGGACATATCTGTTGAAACTAACGTTTAACTTTCAGACATTTCTGGAAATTATTTATCAGCCGATTTTATGCAGAGGGTTAGGCTTAAATTGAATAATTGAAGACACAGCAAAATAGCAAATTATGTAACATAATACCGTGTGATCGAAAAAAAAACCGGCGTAAGAGATGGCTGGGGTATGACAATGGACGATAATTTTGTTGAGGTCAATCTCAAGACGTCATTTACTAAAAATTGACATAAAACTTGTCAAAAATTAACACGAATTAAAAAGAATTGAAATAAAAAAATTAAAAAAGAATAATACGTTTCCCGGCACAAATATATTTTTAAAAAAATATGGTTTTCTCGAATTTTAAACTACACCATTTAAAAATAACGATAACGAATAAAGTCCTTTTAAAAATCATTTTTACTCAATATAAAAATTAAATACAACCTTCTTAGGGTCAACTGGCAGCATTAAAAAATAAAGGGTACCTACGAGCGAAGTAAATGACATCTGTTCCTTGACCTCGCCAAAGTTATCATCGTATGTCATTCCCCAGCCGTCTTTGACATATTTCTTTTGTTATTTAGTTTATAGTTGTATCTCGAGTAACAACACAAAAGGAGTTGATTTTCTATGTCACTAAATTTATTATACGTAGGGAAGCAATCTTCAAAATTAAATTAATTAATATAAATTTTATACAAAGTGGTCCAAAATGATTGACAGAGATATATCATGTGATATGATATTTATATAAATATCATGATATTTTCGATCCCTGCCTTGGATACAAAATAAGGTATTTATTATAAAGGTTAAATATGTTTACAAGCTTTGTTTTTTGAGATATTTAAATATGCATGCTATCATAAAAAAAATTGCCAACACCCTGTACATTGCTTTACAGAATTAATTCTAGTGCTGACTTTTAAGCCAGAGAAATAAACTTTTCTGAAAAAATTGGATTGCTTCGTTTAATTTTAATGTATACAGCGGTATCAAAAATTGCTGTTCTATTTTAAATATTTATTTTACATAAAAACTTCGTTATTTCAAATTCAATACCCTGTATTTTTAAAAGTGAATCGAAGCAGATTCAAATGCTCTTTCAAACTATATTAGCGTTTCCTATACTTATCTAGCTCAGATTTTGAATAAAGAGCAATTTTTCAATAAAACGGCAACCACGAGGGCTGATTCCCTTGAGCATAAGCCCTTGGGACCAAGAAGTAATTTTACTCACAAAATGAAATTATTAGTAACATATCCATTCGTTCCGCCAGCAGATACAGTTTTATTTTTCCTGGTAAAATAATGAATATTTACTTATTAAACTATGAATCTAAATAATAATGTCCATAAACTAATGTCGATTTTGAAAATAGTTACTAACTCTCACTAGAAAATTGCCATGGCGACACCAGCCACCTTGATTGGCATTTTATTGAAAAATCGCTTTTTATTCAAAATCTGAGCTAGACAGATATAGAAAACCCTATTATAGTTTGAAAGGGCATTTAAATCAGTTTCGATTTATTTTCAAAAATACGGGGTGTTGCATTTGAAATAACATTTTTTTTTGTAAAATAAATATTTAATATATGTAGATCAGCAATTTTTGGTACTCCTGTATAAATTTAAGGAAGCAATAAAATTTTTCAGTAAAGTTTATTTGTCTATCCTTAAACTCAGCACAAGAATTAATTCTGAAAAGTAATGTACAGGGTGTTGATAATCTATTCTATTGTAGCATGCATATTTAAATATCTTTAAATATCTCAAAACTCAAAGATTTTAAACATATTTAACCCTTATAATAAATACCTTTTTGGGGGCACAAGAATCCAAAAATGAAATAAAATACCGGGTGTTCCATAAGAAAAAATATAGCTTTGGTATGGATCTTAGTCCTGAAACACCCTGTATATTTCAAAATAATTTAAATTGTGCACATTGCCTCTCCACATATACCCATAAAATATTTTCTTTCTGCATTTTCCGTTTTCGTATAATCGACCGAGTCGAATGAGGTGCGCCACCCGCCACCCTGTATATAATAAATTTCAATTTAGAACTAATGCTCATTCTGTAGATCAAAGAGACCAAGGCAAACTTACTGTTCCACATCACAGAACATCATTATTAGAAGAACTTAATAATCATTATTATTATTAAACCGATTTTTTTTATTCTTTTTTTTAGACAAAGGCATAAAAGGCAACGGCCCTACGTCCGACCCCCGTCATCCCGATCTCGTCTCAGCGAAAGCGAAGACAGCGACTCCGATCGTCCTCAGGAACGGAGTTGTCCCGCCAAGGTCGCCCCCAAACCAGTCGTACGTCCCAGTCCTCGCACCAAGTCGGTCGGCTCCCAGAGCGATTCGGACAGTGATATTCCATTTGCTACCAGTGCCAAATCGGGGTCCAGCCTGACCCCCAAAACGTTGCCTTTGCCGACCAGAGTCGATCTCGTCGAGTCGGATTCTGATGTCCGAACGCCCATACAATCGACCAGCGGCTCCAAGAGTACGCCCAGTGGGGAATCGTCGCTTTCGGCGCCCAAGCCTAAGGGGCGCGGAAGACCGAGGAAGATTAAAACGGAAGGCGGGGAGGGGGATTCGGTGAGGAAGCGGGGGCGGCCGCCTCGAGTTAGCAGGGATGGAGAGGTGAAGAAAACCGGAAGAAGGTGAGTTAAAATATTTTTAATAAAAAAAATTCACTTGTTTAAAAACTTAATAATAAATCGAAAAATTGGCGCCGGGAGGCACGTTTAACCGCCCATACTAAAATATGTTAATATCTCGAAAACTGCGACTGACTGATTTTGATGTTATTACAAATTTTGTTGCAAATATTATTCCTAATCTTAATTTGAAAACCGCGTTTCGCTAGCTACTGTAATTTTGGAGTTACGATTTTTTAAAATTTTTAACCCCTTCCCATACCCCCTTACCAACCCACCACCCCCACCGAAAACTAATAGCCAGATTCTCGGGTGCCATAGTATTTTTGTACCAAATTTGGTTAAGATCGGTTCAGCGGTTTTTGAGTTATCGTGTTACAGACGGACAGACGGACGGACAGACAGACAGACACCATGAAACTATTTTGTATTTAGGTCATTTATGACCCAAGTAACTCATTTTGAGTGAAATTAAAAAAAACTTTTTTTTTGCCTACTATACCTATTGGTTTGGTCGGCTAAAAATAACTGTAAAACAGCCTCTACACTATGCGGAGAACTCTTCGAAACAGATCAAGGTCGCATTTCGTCGCCCAACTTTGTCGCATTTCGATTTATTTCCAGTTGCCTCGACCTACTTTCGATTCTTAAAAGCGCCTGAAAACCACTCGTGAGGAGGGCGTGGGGGATTTTTTTTGGCGTTTCCTGTTGCCTCGTGGCGGTATCTGTACCCGAGGCAAAGGATTTTTTCATAAATCTCAGTGAAATAAGTAAACCTAGACGTTTCTAAAATAGCTGTTGTTACGATGATATTTCGTTAATTACATCTCATTTATGTTGATATATATTCCACAAAATTAATATTTGAACACGCGTTTATAATATGTAGAGTAGATATTTACGATCACAAAACTTGTCCTGAAACGTGTAGAGGGCGTTAAAATATGAATATTAAGACCAATTTTTGGTCAAAAGTTAAATCTGCAGGAATATAATTACAGTATGTTTATTATTTAATTTTATTATAATGAATTAGTATATAAAATTGTATATGTTATGTTTGTTTATGCGGCCATAATTAATTAACCATAATAATTCATGTTTACTTATTTTTCTGAAGCCACACAACGTTTGACCTTGATTGCTTCGTGGTATTTGACAAAATAGTACGATAAATATATGAGTATACGTGATTAGTTGTTTGTTTTTTATTCTTAATCTGGGTTAACAATAAAAAACAAAAAAGAAATCACCGCGCGCCTCGATCAATTTCAGGAAATGTGGGAACTAATTTTTATAACACGGGCCTATATTTGAGTTTAGTTCTGAAAGTATTTCCAGAAATGTTTCGTGACATGTTTCACGAAATATTTCTAAAAATATTTCGTAAATTATTTCGGGGATGGTGTAGAGGCTGTTTAAAAGTTATAAAGTTTTCCTATAAAGCTATAAAAATAATTTCTATAACAAATATACCTTCCCCAATTTATCTTCTAGTTCTTTTCAAATTTCTACTATTTGAAGACTACACGGGAAAAACCAGATATGTCACATTTTCATAAAAATTAAAATAAAAAATGTCTATACATATGTGGTGGATTCATCTCTGGAAATTAAGATAGCGACACAACTTTATAAGCAAATGTTTCCGTTATCGAGGCACCATCAAAGAAAGCCATAATACGTTTAGTCCCAGAGTCCCGGAAATAGCCCCCCTTGCTTTTTTGCCGTACAAGGGAATAAACAGAGTAGTCGACGCGTAATTATTTTTTTTTCTCTGATCCAGTTAAAATCGACAAAGCTGGTTTTTCTCGTGTAGTCTTCATTTGACATTTTGTTCTGCAGTAAGTGCTTTGCACATTCAACATTAGATGGCACTAATTTTATGCTCGACTGAACTCAGTCATGACTATTTCTTACATAATTATTCATAAAAAATGTTTTTTCCAAATATGCTAATGAGCCACCCTCGTTTCATTAAAAAAAATAAGTTATGATTAAAAATACGATTTGGGCTATAATACGACCAGAAAATGTCACGCAAAACATTAGAAGATCAAATCTATTTTTTTAAATGATTAAAAATAATAATTAATGCTTCTTGATTAAAAATTAGTGGTTTTAACACGGTCATGGCATTCTATATTGTAATTTAAAATACTATTTTTTTTAAGCGAAAATGTCAAAAGTTGACATTTCCTTTGTCATTCTATTCAGAATGTGATTTTTTATCGCATAAACTAAAAATATATCGAAGGTACCATTTAAAAATCCAAATTTTTAGTAATTTCCGGTGAAACAGGAACTAACTGAAACTAATTGAATACGTCAATTAATCTTGATAAACCAAATCTCCTCTTTTTATCTGATAAAAATAAAAAAGATTCACTTTTGAAAAACACCCGGTATAGTGAGAAAAATAACGATTTGACAATTGACAAACCAGGATTGACA